TTCAGTGTTCTCACACTTTGAATGACAATTGCGCGGTCATGCAACACTGTATCCAAACTAAAATGTTATAATTTTGTTCACACAACCAGAGCTTTCTTTTGGTGGTATTTAATCACCGCTGGGGTTTTTATTTTTTGCTAAATTAACAAAAAAAGACCAAAATTTTGAAAAAAAAACCCCACTTTTTTTGTTTCTGTTATAAAAGTTTGCAAATAAATAATTGTTCTTCACAAATTTAGGCAAAGATGTATCCCGCTACATTTCTTTGGTGAAAATAACCCAAATCAGTGTTTATTATTTAGTCTGTAGGAAAGTTATAGAGTTCACAAACTATGGTATATATCTAAAAATATCTGATCAACCCTGAAGTACTGACAGCCAATCTAATTTCTTGAGGCCCAAAAATGTCAGAACAGTACAGATATCCCCCAAATGACCCCTTTTTGCATAATAGACAGTTCGACGTATTTCGTAAGAGGCATGGCAAGTTTTTTGAAGTTTTTTGTCATAATTTTTTGGAAAATGAAGAAATTAAAAAAATTATTTTCACAATTTTTTTTTTACATACCAGTGCAGTGCAGCGTCATCATATAACTGGTGTAGCAGTGATCAGGGACAGTATTATCTGATGACAGTATGATCTGGTGACAGTACGAAAAAAAAAAAAAAAAAGATAATTTTTTTTCTATTTTTTTAATTTTTTTATTTTTTATTACATATTTTCTTTTTTTAAGATTTTTTGTCATATTACACTATAACCAAAGTAGTATAATGTTACCATAGTAACATTGTCCTACTTTGGTGAAGTGATCAGTATTTTTTTTTTACACAATTTGATGGCTTATAGCAAAGAATTACTTTGCTGTAAGCAAGCATTTAACTGAATGAAATCGATTCATTCAGGTTTTTTTGTTGTGATTAGCTGTGATTGGTCATGGCTAATCACATGACACAGATGGGCTGTGATTTTCCCAGCCTGTGCATGTGATCACTGTGACCATTCACAGCTAGACACGCTTGTATACAATGACATGAAAGGAAGCCATCCATTGTATACAACTGTCATGTGACCTGCTGTGATTGGTCACAGCAGGTCACATGGTACTGGCAACGGGGCCGGTACACAGATCTGTCATTGGATGTGTCTGAGGTACAGATCTCGCCACAGCGCAGCCCTGCGGGCACGCACAAAGCGCGATCTGGGAAGGACGTCATGTGACACCCTACTGGAGGGACGAGAGGCTAATCCAGCCATCATTTTACTATAGGCCGGGCAGGCAGTAGTTAAAAAAGCAAATTAAATAATTGAAAAAAAAATTTCACCCCCACCTCCATCCCCATGCTTGTGTGCAAAGGCAAACCCAAGTGGTGGTCCCATGGCGGTATGTAGACAGAGATTGCACCATGCATGTCAGGTATCACCATGAATGTTAGATCGAGGACAGTAACATGCTCTTTGTTGATTTAATGGAAAATTTCCAAATAAAAAACATATTTCATAACAATGCATTTTATATATTTAAAATGGTAATGCGAAAGGATTTCAAGTAGAAGTTATTAATATATAAAATAAAAATGGTACAGCATAGAGCATTATTTTCCAACACATTCTGTCCAGTAATCCCACATAGGTAAACTACTAACTGACTTGGGTGGGACTTTTTGTCTAACACGGTAGCTTACATACTGTATGGCAGTAGGCAGCTCACCAAAGTTACACACATTTTAATTATGTCAATATATCTGTAGGTATATTACTTTACCACATACAATCAATGTTATCTGCAGCTTTTTCACAAGCACATAATGTAGACACTTTGTTTTATGCTCTGTAGTCCTTGTGAGCAAATTCTTGTAAGTCATTATGTCAGTGCTGTATGTTATTCTACAAAATATAACAATAACAATAAAAATGTGGTAAATAACAATTGTTTCTCATTTTGATTACAGGTAGCACCACAGCCACTGTGGTTCTCAAAAGAAATGCCCAATCTCAGAAAAATGAATGAGCTTCCTTACCATCTTCTTTATGCAGGCGACATTGATGAATTGCAAAGAAAAATTTTAGGTATGTATTCCTGACATGATTTATTTTGAAAGTTACTATAATCTTGTTATCACGGTCATTGACAAAGACCCATAATTATTTATTTCACGTTTGTTAATTTCTCCCCAACTTTAAAACTCCTGTTTTAAAGAGATGACTGGAACTGTTGTAAGCCAAAGACATACTGTAAGCAAGAGGGAAGGGAATTAAAACTGTTGCTGTGCTTCCTAGAAAGGGAAATGTAGATTTTTTTGCCAGTTTTAGGCTTTTGGAGGGATCGTACAATAGTCTGATCATTAGTACACAGCTTTCAACAGCTGATTACAACAGTTTATGTGACATGATTAGCACAAAAGTTTTTCTCATACCATAACAAAGTGAACGATTTTCATTTAATCAGTGCAGTATTCGTCTGAAAAAAAACAAAAACAAGAGACCAAGACCACGCAAGCTTATGAACAAAAGAATACATTACAGTACAATATGTTACATAATTTCTAAAAAGTTTTATTCTGTCGTACGGGAATTTTCATAACTTTAGTAACCACTTATTATTGATATGAGATTAGCATGCAAAAAAAAAAAAGGAGGACCATTCCCCCAATATTCTCATTGTGTGTATGGGGCATTGGACAATTATTACTGATTGCTTGGTTTTATCCATTTGTTTTTATTACAGTATAGCTTTGGAATTAAATGTTATTTTAAAGACAGGTATGACCTCCCATCTCTCTTTTGTTTTTATGTTTAGCAGTTGCTCTTTAACAGGTGCCCTTAATTTTGATGATAAGACTAGACTGTTTGTGATCTAATTTGCCACAAATAGGCCTGTATTGAGGAGAAGGTTTATAATTTTGCCTGATATCAGTCAGTCAATGCCTAATTATTACATGGTGACTGGTTCCCCTACATTTATGTCATTATACTACTGATGTGTGTATGCCCAAAGATTGAGGAACCCACTTGTAAACCCAGCTGTGTCAGGAAATAGATGTGTTCATGTATGGCTAGTTTCACTGTTAGGTCAGCCCTCAGTTTGATGCTGACATCTGCCATTGGCTTTAGGACTAGAGATGAACATAGTGATAGTGATTTTGATGCAATTGATTTATTTGTGTAATTACTGACTTTGTGAAATTTCAGAGAAGCCGAAACTCTTATTTTTCCACATCAAACTTCTCAGGCTGAAATTGCATAAAATGAGTTTTTTCTTTAAAGGGTATCTTTAGGGTAGTTTAGGTTATTTAATTTAGTGTTAGTTATCCCCCCCCCCCTTTTTTTTATTGTTCAATGCCTATGTTTCTGTGCTGTGGAAAAAAAACATAAACTAATGAGGTACAAGAACAGGTCCAGTAAAGTTGAATGGAGCTTCTGTATACCTCCAGTTTTTTTTTAAAGCAAATTGCATTCTTAAAAACCAATAAAGCATTCCTAATTTCACCTTCCACATGGACTCCGTTGCATTTCTCCGAAGTGGCAAAGTTTCAACGTAATCCCTTGATTTTTACAGACATAAAACATTCCATTCCATATTATCTTTATTTAGAATTATTTTACAGTACTAACAATGGGAATGGGCGGGTCCTGGAAATATACAGAAAAAAATGGATTAATACCTCCTATATCCCACAGAAAAAAAACGGATTATTACCTACTATATCCCACAGCCAGTGCATTCTATTTAAACAGATAAATGTGCTGTAGTAACCTTGTAGACACAGAATTACTAGTTCAGATTGACTTAGGTTATATTGTCTTCAATAAATACTAATTACTAACATCACTTACCATATTCTATTTATTAGCAGATGTACTTTTTTATTGTTTATTTTCTAAAAAGAAATATTAAATCTAAAACACAATGTCTACAGGTAATATGAACTGGATATCTAGCAAAATTGTTGCGTGTGGAATTAACAGTATCATAAAAGACTTTGACATGTGCTTGAAACACATTAACAATAATGAGGCCAAACTTGTGCATGACACACTGCGACTTTTTCAACCCACTATCAACTTCATTGAGGGCCAAATAGGTGAGTTTTCTGCTTTTCTCTTTAATTTAAACCTAGATACAATTAAATTATAATTATTCATTTTACATAGAATATTTAAAGAACATAATGTAAACCTACAGATATGTCTGAGTTTTACAGACACCATATACTGTATGTAATGGTAGAGGATGCAGAAGCCTACATCTTCAATAAGAAGGGGGCATGCCATATTTCAAAACAAAAGACAGTCAAATTGTGATACAAATACACATGAAAAAGTGGAAAATTGTATACTCACCTTTCTATAAATTTCCTTTTCTGGTGCATCTTCATGGCAGCATACAAAGGCTTATGGCTCTGCCCCCACAACCTTATAGGACCGGTTAACTATAAATCAAAGACAGACCCGGCTTGCAGAATTCTCTGTAACTCATCCCATTTGGGTGGGAATCTGTATGCTGCCATTAAGATGAACAAGGAAAGGAAAAATTCCGAAAAGGTGAGTAGCTGCAGCACCAACGTGTTACACCCTGAATATGGGTATAACATGCAACATGTTAGAAAAAGTGAACCTATCTAACTTTAACCACTTGCCTACCGGGCACTTTTACCCCCTTCCTGCCCAGGCCAATTTTCAGCTTTCAGCGCTGTCGCACTTTGAATGACAATTGCGCGGTCATGCTACACTGCACCAAAATAACATTTTTTATTTTTTTTGAGAGAGATAGAGCTATCTTTTGGTGGTATTTAATCACCACTGGGGTTTTTATTTTTTTCTAAACAAACTAATAAATCCTGAAAATTTAAAAAAAAAAAAGTTTTTTCTGTTATAACATTTTGTAAATAAATAATTTTTCTCCTTCACTGATGTGCGCTAATGAGGATGCAGTGATGGGCACTGATAGGCGGCACTGATGAGGAGGCAGTGGTAAGTGGCACTGATGGGCATTAACAGGCATCACTGATGGGCACTGAAAGGCAGCACTGATATATGGCACTGATAGGTGGCACTAATGCGCACTGATAGGCGGCACTGACTGGCACTGATAGAGGGCACTGATTGTAACTGTTGGACGGCACTGTTTGGAACTTTTAGGCAGCACTGACGGGCACTTATAGGTGGCACTGATGGGCACTGGTAGGCACTGATATGTGGCATTGATGGGCACTTACAGGTGGCACTGATAGCGCTACACTGATCATCAGTGCCCCGAGGATCAGTGTAAATGTCCCCTCTGAGGAATGCCAATTACCGGCTCACCTCACGAGCTGTCAGCAGGAGGAGGGGACTGCCGATAACCGGAATTTCCTATTTACATGTGATCAGCTGTGATTGGACACAGCTGATCACATGACAGAGCCGACGTCATCGGCTCTTTACAGTGATCGGTGATCCGCTGTGTCCCAGGGACACAGCGCACCATTCATCGCCACACCGCATGCGCAGTTAGAGTGGGAGGACATCATATGACATCTTTCCAGAACGAGAGAACTGCCACCCTCCCATCATTACCTTATATGGCGGGCAGGCGGTGGTTAAATAAAGAATTCCAGGGACCATGTACATGATAATTACTCAAAGCCTAAACTATTAAAGATCATTTGATTCTCAGCAACCTATATTATCTACTTTCCAGATAAACTAACATGCAATATACAGTGAGGAACAGAAGTATTTGAACACCCTGTGATTTTGCAAGTACTCCCACTTAGAGATCATGGAGGAGTCTGAAATTCACATTGTAGGTGCATTCCCACTCTGAGAGACAGAATTAAAAAAACAAATTCAGGAAATCACATTGTATGATTTTTAAAGAATTTATTTGTCTTGCACTGCTGAACATAAGTATTTGAACACCTGAGAAAATCAGTGTTAATATTTGGTACAGAAGCCTTTGTTTGCAATTACAGAGGTCAAACGTTTCCTGTAGTTCTAGACCAGGTTTGCACACACTGCAACAGGGATTTTGGCCCACTCCTCCACACAGATCTCCTCTAGATCCGTCAGGTTTCGGGGCTGTCGGTGAGCAACATGGAGTTTCAGCTCCCTCCAAAGATGTTCTATTGGATTTAGGTCTGGAGACTGGCTAGGCCACTCCAGAACCTTGATATGCTTCTTACGGAGCCACTCCTTGGGTACCCTAGCTGTGTGTTTTGGGTCGTTGTCATGTTGGAAGACCCAGCCACGACCCATCTTCAATGCTTTGACTGAGGGAAGGAGGTTGTTGCTCAAAATCTCACAATAAATGGCCCCATTCATCCTCTCCTTAATACAGTGCAGTCGTCCTGTTCCCTTCACAGAAAAGCACCCCCAAAGCATGATGTTACCACCCCCATGCTTCACAGTAGGGATGGTGTTCTTGGGATGCAACTCATCCTTTTTCCTCCAAACACGAAGAGTGAAGTTTAGACCAAAAAGTTCTACTTTGGTCTCATCTGACCACATGACTTTTTCCCATGCCTCCTCTGGATCATCCAGATGGTCATTGGCAAACTTCAGACGGGCCTGGATATGTGATAACTTGAGCAGCGGAACTTTCTGTGCAATGTATGATTTGAATCCATGACAGCGTAGTGTTCTACCGACAGTGACCTTTGAAACTGTGGTCCCAGCTCTCTTCATGTCATTGACCAGCTCCTCCCTTGTAGTTCTGGGCTGATTCCTCACCTTTCTTATAATCAGTGATACCCCACGAGGTGAGATCTTGCATGGAGCCCCAGTCCGAGGGAGACTGACAGTCGTCTTTAGCCTCTCCCATTTTCTAACAATTGCTCCAACAGTTGATCTATTTTCACCAAGCTGCTTGGTAATTGCCCCGTAGCCCTTTCCAGCCTTGTGGAGGTCCACAATTTTGTCTCTGGTGTCTTTTGACAGCTCTTTGGTCTTGCCCATAGTAGTAGTTGGCGTCTGACTGACTGTGGGGTGGACAGGTGTCTTTAAAGAGCTCAGACAGGTGCTACTAAGTTAGATTGAGTGGAGTAGAGGTGGACTTTTTAAAGGCACAGTAACAGGTCTTTGAGAGCCAGAATTCTTGCTGTTTCTTAGGTGTTCAAATACTTATGTTCAGCAGTGCAAGACAAATATATTCTTTAACCTCCCTGGCGGTATGATTATTTCAGATTTTTGGTGCTGAAAGCAGTACCATTTCTTTGCATGGAAATATGTATTTTTTTTATTGTAGGCTGTAATTTTTAGGAAAAACTCACTGAAATCTGTCCGAACAAGAGTCTAGTAAACATCCCGGGTATGATAAAATTTGAAACACAAAATCATAAATTATAATTTAATAAATAATCATAAAAATAATAAAAAATTTAATTCAATAATATAATCAAACCAAAAACACTGAAATGTGAAATAGAGCGCCAAGTTCGCACATTGCTGAGCTCAGTCGCAAAATCATTTTCAGTGTCTGATGACGAATTTCCCCCACGAATCATTATCACTCAATTCTGCAAGTGGTTCTGATTTACTATCGCTGTTCTCTAGCTGATCTAAACCGCTTTTGACCTAAAGGGACACTTTTTGGACGCCATGGACATTTCTCAGTTTCCAGGCAGAAAGAACAAACAAAATGCAGGCAGGGCGCAGGACAAAGCACTAGGGACAATATGTATGTGAAATTGGTTGAGACAGCAATGTTTTACTATGTAAAATGTAAAAAAAAAAAAAAAAACACATTTTTTAAAATTTTTAAATTTCCCGCCGCCGGAGGCGGCGGCGCCCGTACGTCCCGACGTCACAGGGACAGGACACAGAAGCCGGATGCCGGCATCGGCTGGAGGAGATGGCCAGGGACGCTGCAGGGGACACATCGTGGGAGCGCAGGGTAAGGTAAGTGAAGAACACATGCCGGTAACCCCGAGTGTAGCTCGGGGTTACCGCTTTTGGTACTGAAATGTTACCCCGAGCTACACTCGGGAATACCGCCAGGGAGGTTAAAAAACATACAATGTGATTTCCAGAATTTTTTTTTTAATTCTGTCTCTCAGAGTGGGAATGTACCTACAATGTGAATTTCAGACCCTCCATGATTTCTAAGTGGGAGTACTTGCAAAATCGCAGGGTGTTCAAATACTTCTGTTCCTCACTGTAATTATTTGCAAAAGCAAAATACATCTTATGTATGTACTTGTAATTATATACTGCCCCCTACTGTTAGATGCTGATATCACAGTTTTATGTATAATTATGTACATAAATTCCTGCCCCTGTGGTCTGGATTAGGAAGCCAGGAAGGAGGAAGTAAAGGAAGAAAGAGAGACATACTCAGCCATGTCCTGTTCATGCTACTAAAATCCTGTACCAGAAGAAACTATTATACACCACTAAGGAGGGACTGTGCTGCTGTGTGCTCTACTGGGCTGCAGGAAAGTGAGGGAGTACATCTCCTGGTGTGCCCTGGAGTGTTGTACCGTTACTAAGGAAATATACAGTGTGCTGGGACCTGTGGGCAGAGACTGTGGTTCTGAAAGCTGTGCTGATCCCATTAAAAACTGTTGAAAAAAATGCTGATATCATATACTGTAAGTATTCTTCTCTTCCTTTATTGTGTCGGATAATGATATCTATAAAGTCACAAGTTCATGTTATTCAATGAAACTTCTTATGACCCCGTCACCCCCCAGCAATTTATACATATGTACTATAGCCACCTACATTAACAACATTCAAAAACGTTCTAGTTACAAAACGAATTTGAATAATGTGGCTCCTATAATAAACTTCCCAAAACTACCTGTACCTGTAAACGAAGACTGGAAATACTTAAATCTCCTGCTGTTGGTGGTGATGAATACCTTCTTTTCTCCTGATAAAATGGTCCCTTGAGGTTCACTGGGAAACTAACACATCCAACTGTATCCCCAGCAGCTCTTGCTGGTTCCTCCTGCTGACCTCCATGTCCCCACTATCTCCTGCAGCAACTATGGAGGTCAGCAACTAAGGTAGCAGGGGAGGTTAGTATTTACAGACTTTGTTTTTACAGATATAGTTTTATTTGGAATGTTTAGAATAGGGATGGGATTGTTTTAGGCTGAGTGTGGCTTTTTTTTTTTAGTCTACTACACAGGAATCTGATATCAAGACAAATTCAGGTACATAAACTAGGAGCAAGTTAAAATATATGTTTAAATAAATAAATGTAACTTTCCCAAGAAAAATATTGTAGGAGAACATACTGTATTAAATAACAAATGGGACTTTTTGCTTGGTTTAACCATTTCTTTGGAAAAGGCTCTTGTAATCAAAACATTTGTTACTTCCCTACAGATCCCTGCATCATATATGTAGAGATGTTGGCAAGGCTGCATTTCTTAAAGCTGTCCTGCCCATCTTTAATTGGTGACCTCTGCAAGCAATGTTTCACCTGGTTTGAGCAATATCCAAATCCCACCCTTATTCCAATAAGTGGATTTTTTTCCAGCCACCTGGTGGACCTCTACAGACCACTCTTACAGGATTCAAGAAAGGTATTTGATGACTTGATGCCAGAATGTCAAGACTATACTTCATTTCTAGTTATCTTTTACCATAGTCCAAAAACAAGGTGAACCACATTTATGCCTTTAGTGTTTCTTTTTTGGTGCCTAAAGGTGTAGGTTATGTCTTCAGAGCTTCTCAGTGTAGAAATTAAAATATGAATGGATTAGCATTGGAAAGGAAGATTTTTTTCTACTGTTGCCATACTACGTGCACAATCACTGAGCAGAAATGTAAGATAAAGTAATAAACTTTACAGCAGGAACATGTTCACATAGATTGTCCAACTACATCATCAAGAGTGATTTAAAACTAAGGGGTGCTTTCCTGGGAGGAGGAACTGACATTTATATTGACCATCCTCCTGTCTTGAAGAAATCAGAGTGGTTCGCACATCACATCACATCACAGTATTCTGGCTTTTCAGATATTTTCTTGATGTTTTAACTGAACAAAAAGTAATCATATTATAGATAATATTACAAAGGTAATCAATATAAACAAGTATTATACTATATTTCCAGAGGTGGATGTGGAATACACAGTTATGACCAAAAAATATTGGCACCCCTGCATTTCTGTCAGATAATACACCACTTCACCCAAAAAATTGTTGCAATTACAAATATTTTGTCATTCTCATGTTTATTTCTTTTGTTTATATTGCTATGACACAAAAAAGTGGAGAAACAAAAAGCCAAATCTGACACATTCCACGCAAAATCCCAAAAATGGACTGGACCAAATTATTGGCACCTTCTCAAAATTGTAAGAAATAATTGCATTCCAAGTTTGTGATGCTCCTGTAATTTTTAATTAAGCTCACCGGTATCAATTAACAGGTGCTGACAATATAGAAATCACAC